CTACGGAAGTAGGATTGCCCAACCTTCCTTCCGAGGAGTGGCTGGTGGGTTTGAACCGCCAGCCGTCTGGTTAGCAGGCAAGTGTCTTAGCCACTATGCTACCAGAGCTCCTATAAAATATTCTAAATCACATTTGACCTTGAATTTGAATTGATTACTTCTGTCGGTCATTTCTTCCTCTAGAATACATTTGTTCAAGATCTGAAATTCTCAACTTGCAACAATTTTGTCCAGTTATATCTGGCTTCATTCACATTACCATGTCTCCCATTTATACAACTGTCTTCAGAGAAACTGTAACAAAGCTAACTTGTTTTCATGTTTCTGTAATAATGCAGGAGCAATAAATAATGAAGTTAATAGGCTGTTTCATCCTTCTCTGGAAGCCTAGACGTTATAGTCTCTTTAAGAATAACAGACGAGTTAAATCCCCTAAGAAGGAGAAGGCAAGCTTTGATCTCTGGATTCTTTTCCTTTGAAAGCACCTGTGGGGCACAGTTCATCTCTGGTGAATCAGAACTTGAGGAGAATAACTGAGCAGTTGTTGCCCATGAGAGTTTCCCCCGAAGATTAAAATATCATGGTGCTGACAGCAGATTTGCATCGCTGGTGATCAGATGTTCATTCATCTCAGGGACAAGCTGGCAGGATTGCCTCTGGTTTTTATTTCGTGAAATAAAAGTGTGATGCGTTTGAGAAGGGACGAGGTGGAGGAGTCCTTGCTGGAACACATTTCCAACACATCTCAGTGAGCGGGTCATCTTGCTCACTGCGGTGGCCAGTGGTCTTCATCTCAGAATGGCTTCGTGTTCTGTTAGCCTCACAGTTCCCCCAAGAAGAGGCCTGGTGTGTATTCGTACCAGGCGTGCGTGCGGAGTTAGCTATGGAGGTGTTGGTCTGCAAGCTCAGATGATGTGTGTCTGCCAGATGATTCAAGATCATTCCAAAAGGTTTTTGGAGAATTGGCACTACCTTTTTTCACTTCTGTAAGTAGGTCGTGATGATACCTACTTTATTTTCAGTGTTTTAAGTATTTCACTGTTTTCTCATTGTTTTATGCCGTCAAGTCGGTTTTGACTCATAGCGAGCCTGTGGAACAGAGTAGAGCTGCCCCATAGGATTTCCTGGGCCATTACCATTTTGTGGGAACAGATTGCCAGATCTTTGCTCCCTCAGAGCAGCTGTGGATTCAAATCTCTGAACTTGCAGTTAGCAGCCCAGTGCTTAGCCATTCAACCTCTAGACTCCTTAAGTATCTGGTAGGACTTTTGTCTGTCTGTTCATGTAGGTTTCATTTATTTTATATGCAGATTTATTTAATTTGTTGTTGGGCATATGCCCAGCAAGACAGACTATTTAAACAGCTTGTACATGTACTGTTTCCTGACATGGATTACATTCCTCAAATTGTACAACCACTCTCACCTTCCTTTTCTACCTTGTTCCTCTCCCATAAATATACATTTACTGCCCTCTGAGGTTCCCATCTAACCTTTTGAATTACTGTTATCCATTTGATCCCGTGTAGATAGTTCTGAGAAGAGCAGAATGCCCAAGGCAGACCTTTTTCTTCTCTAGTTCAGCTAAACTGTTGTTTGGTTTTAAGGTGACTTCAGGGGATGTTTTTGGTTTGAGATTTGAAGATTATCTCAGGGCTGTAGTTTCAGGGATTTATCCAACCTTCATGGCTCCAGGAAGTCTGGAGTTCATGAGAATTTGAAATTCTGTTCTGCATTTTCCCCCTTTTGATCAGGATTCTGCTATAGGATCTTTGATCAAATGTTCAGTAACAATAGCTGGACATCATCCAGTTCTTCTGGTCTCGTGGCAAAGGAGAAAGTTGTTCATGGGGACAGTCACACATCCCATGTCCTCCTCCTGTTTCTGACTCTCTTTCCTCCTCTGTTGTTCCAGGCAAATAGAGACCAATTGTTGTACCTTGGATGCTGCTTGCAAGCCTTTAAGACCTGAGCAGAACGGTTCAAACAGGAGCTAGAACAGAGGCATCAAACACGTTATTAGGCTCTTTAACTGAGATATCCCATGAAATGATGACCCTAAACCTCCAAACCAGGAAATTAAATCCCATGAGGTTTTTGGTTGTACACAAGCAGCCTCAGCAACTACTTTTTTCAAAGGGGGTCGGGAATCATTTTGGTAAATATGTCACACAACTCTTGCCAATTCAACTTTTTACAGGAATACAACTTATTAATGGCATTTACAATAACTGGCTTTGCAACTTTACCTGTAATCAGCATGATACTTCCGTCAGCACTAACACCTCCCTCTTCCCCTGCCTTCCACCATGCCCCCTGCCCTGAAAGCACTAATAAACTTTGTTCTCTATACATTTGCCTTTTCTTGTCTTTTTATATACGTGAGTTCATACAATATTGGTCCTTTTGTGATTGGCTTATTTCACTTAGCGTCATGTCTTCCAGTTCCATCCGTACCGTAGCATGGATCAAGACTTCATTTCTCTTACTGGCTGGGTAGTATTCCATTTTATGTATGTAGCACATATTGTTTATCCCTTCATCTGTTGATGGGCATTTAGGTGGTTTCCACCTTTTGGCTATTGTGAACAGTGCTGCAGTGGACATTAGTGTACAAGTCTCTGAGGCTCTGCTTTCAGGTCTTTTAGGTACAAACGGAGTGGACTTTCTGGGTCACATGGTAGCCCTATTTTCAGTGTTTGAGGATCCACCACATTGTTTTCTGCCGCGGCTGTATTTTGCCTTTCTCAGCAGTGGGTAAGGATTCCAATTTCCTCCCATCCTCACTAATGTTTGTTGTTTTCCGTGTTTTTCATCTTAGCCGTCCTAATGGAAGTGAACTGGTGTCCCGTTGTGGTTTGGATTTGCATCTTTCTGAGGCCTAGTGACACTGAGCATCTTTTCATGGGTTTGCTGGCCATTTGAATATCCTCTTTGGTGAAATGTCTATCAAAGTCTTTCTCTCATTTTATGATTGGGTTATTTGTCTTTCTGTTTAAGTTGTCAAAGTTTCATATATATTTTAATTAGAGTCTTGTCAGATATATGGTTTCTGAAGATACTCTCCCAATTACTAGCTTGTCTTTTCACTTTTTTTGGCACGGTCTTTTGATGAACAAAAGTATTTAATTTTCATGAGGTCCCATTGATTAATTTTGTCTTTTGCTATTTGTGCTTTTGTTATTATTTTAGATAATATGTTGTTGAAAGCTGGGCCTGACAGTGTTGCCCCTGCTTGTTTTTCTAAGAATGTTGTGGTTTTAATGTGTTATGTTGTGGTCTTTAATCTGCTTTGAGGTGGTTTTTCTGTGTGGTGTGAGGCAGGGATCCTGTTTCATTTCTCTGCATGTGGAAACCCAGTTTTCCCAGCACATGTAGCGAAGAGACTCTTCTTTCCCCTTTGAATGGACTTAGCACCCTTGTGAAGAATCAGTTGGCCGTGATGTGTAGGTTGCTTATATAGGTTTTCAATATCACATAAAAGATCTAAAGAACCAGACTCTGCTTTCGTTGAGAATGGAATTCAGTGATTATAAAACCATAGACTGTCAGGCCCAAAAAGCAGAGATGTGTTATGTCTGTAAAGCTAGGCACTAGTCCCTGAAATTAACACATTATGCCCACTGAAGGGGTAATTGATTTGATTTTTCAACTTTAAGTTATGTCTGGAATGTGATACAAAAGTCTGAATATTTCAGTGCATTTTATGAAATTGTTAGAACACTGACAACTTAGAAGACGATGTGGTAAAGTGAGGAGGAGGGTGGTAGGAGCAAGAATGGGGGGGGCACTGGCATCACTCTATTTTGTGTATTTCCGTATTTGAGTTTTTACAAAAAGCATTACTTTTGTGACTAAGAACAGATATAAAACAAAAAAGGTCATGTGATTCTATTGAATGTGTGTTAAGTTTACTGGTGACTGACTTCCGGAACAGCACTAAATACCTCAGGTCATTGAAATATGAAAAGTTTTAAAACGTGAGTGTGTCTCTCCTGGGTTTGTCTGACGATGGTGTCTTTCATCTTGTGTGTCACGTCCCTTTTTCAGACACTGGCAGTTTTAGGTAATGTCTTTGGCTTTGTGGGTAGCAGGTTTACATTCTACCTTTGAATTCCAGTTAAAAGATGGGGAAGAATTCACTTCATTGCTGCTTTTTTAAAGGCAATTAATATTTTTGTTGGCTTATATGTCACAAAGGAGCTCTGGCAGTGTAGTTCCTAAGGCATTTAACTGGTAACCAGAAGGCTGGTTGTTCAAACCTACCAGCCGCTCTGCAGAAGGAAGACTGGGCAATCTACTTCCTTAAAGATTTACTTCCTCGGAAACCCAAAAGGGGTCACTTTGAGTTGGAATCAACTCGATGGCAGTGAGTTTGGTTTTTTGTGGTTTTATATATCAGTATCGTCATAGAATACTCAACAGGTTGACTAAATTATCCCTAAGACAATGTGGAAATTAAGGTTGAATGGATGTGACTGCAGAATTTTGTTGATATGGTTTTTTCCTTGGGTGTAACCTTAAGTGGTACCAAGGACTTTGTGAAATGTGAGACTCCAGTGTGTGTGGGCATTGTGCCCATCAACCCAGGAAATGGTTAGGTCTGAAGAAAGGTACCAGCAGAAACTTGACAGGTGCGGGCTGCACTTATTATCTAAACAATAGTGAAGCACCCGTTCTCTAGTCAGCATGGCATCGTGGGAAGACTGGAGAATTTGGAGCATCATATTTCAATAAGTGAATTAAAAGTTTTTTTGAACTCGGCCTGGTGCAGTGGTTTGGTGATGGAATCCACACCGCATGTTTTGGAATCTTACACAGTAATAACAACAGAGGTTTCCCAGGTCTTCACGCAGAGTGGACCTTTCAGTTATCATGTACTAATTTACCTTTCCAGTGACCTTATTTATCTATTTATTTATGGGATTATGTTTTTAAATGAGAAAATCATAAGTCGTTTGATAGGTGGCGGCTTGAAGCCACTGTTCTTTGCCGTTGCAGTGGATGAAGACCGCAGCAAGGAGCCTGACCGACTGCAGGTGCTGCACAAGAAAGCCGTGATGCCTTACGGTGTGTATAAGAGACAGCAGAGGGACCCCAGTGAGGAGGCGACCGTCCTGCAGTACGCGAGCCTGGTGGGGCAGAGCTGCTCCGAGAGGATGCTGCTGTTCAGAAGCTGAAGAGCGCCCGCCCCCACCCCCATCCTAGGTACTCCCGGCTGTACTCGGCACGTGCCACGGTGTGGTCCTCCCTCGGGGACACCGGCACATCCAGCACCTAGACGTTGTTATCTGCACTGTGATAGGGCTTTTCTAAAATTTTTGTGGTGATGTGTTTGTGAGATACTCAAAATTAATATAAAGCTTTTTAAAATGTGTTCCAACCTCGCCTCATAACTGGGGTTTCTCATTTTGGGGGTTTGTTTTATGAGCAGACGTGCTCAGCTTCCTTTGTTGGTTCTCTTTTTGAAAGTAACATCAGAAAGTCAGAGTCAGGAATTTAAATCACAGTTGTGCATTTCTTTTTCCCAGTTAAAGAAATTTAAACACACTTTCATCAGACCCTTTTAAGACATTTGTTTATGGTAGAAAACCCTAAGTATAGAGAAGAAGGTTGAAAGTCTGTTTTATCACTTAGAAAATCTAAGACAGCAAAACTGTGTTATTACTCAGTGTTCACTATTACTGCCTAATACCATGTAGCTTCATAGAGAACAGAATAGAGAAAAAAACAAAACACAAACCAAAAAAAAAGATGGTGCTTCAGCATCAGGGCCCTGCTTGCCGTGGACGGCTCAGTTCACATCTGTTGTCTGATTTTTCCCCAGGTGATTGTTCTGAATGTTCCTTTCACTCTCAGAAATAGCTCAATGTGGACAATAAATGTTGTGCAATGTACTGTTTGCTCTGTTTCCAAAAACTGAGAAATTGAGGTGTGTGTGAATAGGGGCTCCTGCCCTGATCTACGCCCCATAAGTGTGCAGATGCAGAAGTGTGTAAATACAGAAGGTGTGTAAACACAGAAGAGTGCAGATTTGGGCTAGTTTTCCCCTCCTACAACTCAGGACACTTGTTATTGATAAAAGTGAGCTACTGTCCGACTATTTCATAGCCATGCCAAGAATGACATTTAGTTCAGTGTACAGATCATTCTGACCTCTGTGTTCTGGAGCAAGCCCCGGTGGCACAGTGGTTAGAGCACTCAGCTACTGACAGCTTCATGGCTCAAACCCACCAGCCGCTCCGTGGGAGAAAGATGGAGCCATGTGCTTCTGTAGAGATTGACAACCCTGGAGACCCTATGGGGCAATGCCACTCTGTCCTCCAGGGGCGCTGTGAGTTGGAATGGACTGGATGGCACTGGGTTGGTTTTTGATTCTAGAGCAAGAAACAAAACAGTGTATTCTTGCCCTTTGCTTTGGGAGTCAGGAAATGCTGCACTTCCAGAGTAATTGGGAG